CGTCAAGAAAAATAGGAAGAGGGCGCAAGAGGAACGATCCTGACATCGCCGCTACGATATCGGAGGTTGGGGGGTGAGATCGAAGTGGAACGGAGAGCCCCCCTACCGGAAAATCGATTTCGGTTTCGTGTTCGTGCCGTGCATGCGGGCGAGGCGAAGCTGCGTGGGCGGGGGAAAGGAAATTCTCCTGTGGCTGGGCCGCGGCTAGACCAATCTCCGCCCGGCAACCGGTGGCGCGCGGTGTCCCGCCGGTGTCCCGCTGGTGTCCCGCTGGTGTCCCGCCGGTGTCCCGTCGTGGCTGGGCCGCGGCCGGACCAAAAGGTTCTCCGCCTGGCAACCGGTGGCGCGCGGTGTCCCGCCGGTGCCCCGCTGGTGTCCCGCTGGTGTCCCGCCGGTGTCCCGTCGTTGTCGTTGTCCCGTGGTGTCCCGTGGTGAGATCGACAGAGAGATCAATAGTGAGATCGATAGTGAGATCGATAATGAGACCGATGAGATCGATAGTGAGGTCTATAGTGAAAGATCGATAGTGAGATCTATAGTGAAATCGATCGTGATATCGATAGTGAGATCGATAGTGAGATCGATGGTGAAATCGATAGAGTAGGATCGACAGCGAGATCGATCGTGGAATCGATAGTGAGATGAATAGTGAGATCGAAAGCGAGATCGATAGTGAGATCGATAACGAGATCGATAGTGGGATCGATAGTGGGATGGATAGTGAGATCGACAGTGAGATCGATTGTGTCCCGTCGGTGTCCCATCGGTGTCCATCCCCGAAAGGCTCTTAAGAGCCCCCCAATAGGCCCCCAATAGCCCCCCAAGAGGTCCAAAAGACGCGCCCAAACGGCCCCCCAAGCCCTTGCAAAATGAACGAAATAATTTATTATTTCGTTGGTTCCCGGGGGAGGGGGGGAATGGTACCAAGGCGCCCAAGAGCGAAGGGTGGCGTAAACAACTCGACACCACGGCTCCCAAGAGCGAGCGGCAACGCAACGATCTCCACTGGCATCGTCTGAACAACAATCACCACTGTTGCCCATTGCTGGCCCCCTCCCCCCCCCCCAAACCTCCTTCTCACCCGCAGGGTGGTCGCATAGGTATCTCACACTGCGGCCCCGAACGCCTCGACCGTTTCCCCCAGAGCCGCGTTACGTCCCAGATCAAGGCTTGATGGCCCCCGGGCCAGAAAACGGCCCCCGAGAGCAGACATCGAGGAACAAATGCGCCAGCTGAAAAAAATACGCGCCGTCGGAATTCTAGGGAGGCAGACCAGGAGGACGAGGATGGGAGGAAGAGGCGGAGGAGGTGCAAAACGTGGAGGAGGAGGCGCAGATGGGGGGGGTGCAGGATGGAGAAGGGAGGGCAAGGCGCAGGATGGGGAGAGAGGAGGAATGAGGCAAACCAGGAGGATGAGGACATGAGGAGGAGGAGGAGGAGGAGGAGGAGGAGGAGGAGGAGGAGGAGGAGGAGGAGGCGGAGGAGCAGGAGGAGGAGGAGCAAGAGCAGGACTCTCGCAACGAGGGCACGGCGCGGGGATCCTCCTGGTCTGCCCCCTCCTCTTCTTCCTCCTGACAACGCTGTAACTGTAACGCCGAGTCCGGACGGTCGTGCAAGGACAGCAGTTGCCGACCTGCGACAGGGAACCGCCATCAGTAGGAACGCTCCTCCTGTTTCATTTGTCGACCCTCCTCATCCTCCCCTGCGTTTCCTCCTTTCCCATCCTGCATCTCCTCGCCCCGCGCTCCCAAGGGCTCGCGCATCACCCCCGACGCCCGCTGTGTTTGCCCAGCGCCTTCGCCACCTGGTTGGACGCCGCGGCGACAATGAAGGGTGCCGAAATTAGCGTGGCTGACGCATGCGCGCGGTGGCATTGAAACCTTCGGTGGGGCTCCCCATGGGGCCACGAAGCGTCCACCACTACCTACGACTACTACGACTACTACGACTACTACGACTACTACGACTACTACGACTACTACGACTACTACGACTACTACGACTACTACGACTACTACGAAC